ACAACTTCTGAAGGCAACTTCTGTTCCATGGGTTGATGGTTCTCACATGTGTGACAATCCCCGATGGTTTCTGAATAGTCAAGTCAATGGGATTCGCTTAAGTGATCCACTTGACAACGGCAGGGATTAATTTAGCAGCCACAGCAAATAATAATAATAATTGGGCATTTCACCGCCTTGCTTAACAATGGATATTCTGCTCCCAATTGCGCTCGTAAGTTGAGAACTACCTGCAATCTTTGCAGGGATGTGACATTCTGGCTTCCCATTGGCAGAATCTGTATTCCCCCCCCCTCCTCCTCCTCTTCCTCTTTTCATTTTTTTGTTAAAAAAAGCCTATTTGCCTATTCTCCTATTCTGGATGCTCTCGACTTTGACAGTCAACCGTGGGGCAGAAAGAAGAATGATGCACAACTCTGACCTTTGCCGAGCCCGCCTATTTGGATTGGCACTTCCTTCTGCCATTGTCGCCCGTTTAGGAAAGCTGTAAACAAGGAAGGCGGGAAGGAACGAAAGCGGATGACATGGTCTAACAAATTGCAGAACGTTGAAAAGGTCAAAAAATTTGCCGAAGGAGGCTCTCCTGTAATTTAAAGAACCTAGGAGCCGTTCCCGTACTAATAACTCATTTGCGGGACCAGCCCAGCAAACAGAACATTAAAGTCCACGTGCGAATCCATTTCAAAAGCTTGATTTTGTATTTAGATAAATTTTTTTTTGTCCTAACGAAGGATGAGGGATGTGGTGGCTCAGTGGCTAAGACGCTGAGCTTGTCGATCGAAAGGTTGGCAGTTCAGCAGTTCGAATCCCTAGTGCCGCGTAACAGGGTGAGCTCCCGTGACTTGTCCCAGCTTCTGCCAACCTAGCAGTTCGAAAGCACGTAAAAAATGCAAGTAGAAAAACAGGGATCACCTTTGGTGGGAAGGTAACAGCGTTCCGTGCGCCTTTGGCAGTTAGTCATGCCGGCCACATGACCAAGGAGACATCTTTGGACAATGCTGGCTCTTCGGCTTTGAAAATGAGATGAGCACTGATCCCTAGAGTTGGGAATGACTACAAAATATGTGCCAGGGGAACCTTTACCTTTAACGAAGGATGAGAAGGGATTGCTAATTTACCTGGTTCTTAATTTCAATTTCTCCCTCTGGTAAACAGCAAAACTGTTTATTTGTTTTTCCTTCTCCCTGCCACATATCCTATAAATCCGATCAAAATTCAGAACTGGCAAATTTCTCGAAATGTAAACTAAAGCATGAAAATGCTCCCTGACTAATATCCTCTCCTAGTTTAGCGTTTTTGGAGAGGGAAATTTTGAAGTGTTCCAAAGCACTCACGAAGCAAAAAATGAAATATCGGTTGCACTGCTCATTTGGAAACTTTTTCATCCTCGCTTTTTTTCTTTTTCCTTCCCCACTCGTTGTAATTAGATTAACCGTCAAGAGTTGCTGATAGTTCCCAGAGGCTTAGACATATTGTCTTGCTTATAAACACGGACAGGGGCTGAGATTTTCCTAGAATTACAAATCTGGACAGTGTTCAAAACTGCAACAGCTAACACGAACAGGGGAGAAAAACCATATTTTTCAGCACAACATCTCATAGGTTGAGCCCAGAATTCATCCAGGATTCAATCTGCCAATCCAGACTGCACACTCGGTTTATGTCGGACTGAAACCAGTGGTGGGATTCAAATAATTTAACAACCGGTTTTCTGCCCTAATGACCGGCTGGGTGGGTGAAGCTATGGTGGGCATGGCCAGAAGGTATGACAGGCAGTACTCGGCCTCCAGCATCCCCTTCGGAGCAAAAATGCACCCCAGGGCAGGGGTGAAATCCAGCAGGTTCTGACAGGTTCTGGAGAACCGGTAGCGGAAATTTTGAGTAGTTCAGAGAACTGGCAAATACCACCTCTGGCTGGTCCCAGAGTGGAGTGGGAATGGGGATTTTGCAATATCCTTCTCCTGGAGTGCGGTGGGAATGGAGATTTTACAGTATCCTTCCCCTGCCACGCCACCCAAGCCACGCCCACCAAGCCACACCACGCTAACCAAGTCACGCGCACAGAACCAGTAGTAAAATAATTTGGATTTCACCACTGACCCCAGGTAAGTGCAGGCCTCTTTTGCAAATTCTACCCCTTTTAAACACTCCAAAGTAAAAACAGGAAGAAAAATAAGATCCGTTTTTAAAATCCTTGTCTTTGTCTAATACGATTGTTTACATCTCTGTCATCTGGTAACTGAAAAAGAGATTGCGCTTCTTAGCATCCGAGCTTGAAGCCTGAAATTAGGTTATAGTGGCGCATGGATTGATAGAAGAGCTTAGCCGTATATTTATTGTACATATATTATCAGGAGGCAGTTCGGTTGCGATCTCTGGAAGCCGACTTTGTTTACGACAAAATGGGACTTATTTAGAAGAATCGGAATCAGAATAGAGCTGGAAGGGATGTTAAAACACATAAAATATTTTCTTAAAATACAGTTAAACACAAGTTGCAAGTATAGGTTAAGAACAGTGCGAGCTAGAAATGGACAGATTAACACTTAAAATTAAGGAGAAAGAAGAAACTGAATATTTTTTTAACATGGGATTTGTTTTACCAATGGCTAACTAATAGAAACAGAAGTTAGAAACTTAAAAGCATAAGAGAATGATTAATTATATAAGGAAGGTTTGCTAAAATGGATAAGCAAACACTATTATTATTTTGTGATCATTATTAATCTTATGAATATCATTGTTATTATCATTATCATTATTATTTCTCAAAATTAACTGTATTCAGACAACACACTGTTTATGTATTGTTTTTCATGTTTAACCAGCTGATAACCTGGCATTGCCCGGGTATTTATTTATCCCAATCCTGTATTGGACAGGAAGAGCAACTTCACCCTGAGTCCTGATTTCGGTGAGAATTAAATTAGTTAAAAATGTTTTCCCAGTGCCCCCAGAAGCATCAAGTAAACTGATACCACCTTGTTGTTTCTAATGTTGGATTTTCCCCCTTACCAGAGGGAGTACTGTGAAGCCATTACCCTGGCAACTCCATTGTGTTGTACAGTAGAAGCCATTTTAAGGCACTACAGTAGAAGTCATTTTAAGGCACAACAGGCTGTATCTTACAGAACACACACCCCAAGAGATGTTAGGGGAGTCTTACCCCCACAGTATTTGTTTCCAGGGAGTAAGTCATCTGTGTACCAAGTTTGGTTGAAATTGCTCAAAGCATTCCAGAGTTATGCTGGAACATACACACACACAGCCATTGATAGATAGATAGATAGATAGATAGATAGATAGATAGATAGATAGATAGATAGATAGATAGACAGACAGACAGACAGACAGACAGACAGACAGACAGAAGGTAATAATAATAATAATAATAATAATAATAATAATAATAATAATAATAATAATAATAATAATAATAATAATAATAGAACAGAGCGAGCTGTCTTGTATTTAAATGCCTCCAAAAAGCACATAAGTAAATCCTAAGAATTGTAACTCTTAGTGATTTCCAAACTAGAAGTCAGTCTCCACTTGGTCTCACCATTAAGAAATAACAACCGAGAACTCTCTTACACTAATTCATTTAATCTACTCTTAAAACTGTTTAATCAAAGATCTATCTGGGAGTGGAGACAAAATTGTTTTATCCAGTTTCAGGTATCCATGCTACACGAACTGTAAAATGATTCACTTGCAATGCACTCTTTTTTTAAAACAAAAACAAAAAACAAAATTCATTTTGTGCCAGTTTTTGCAAATGTACATTAGGGAAATGTCTACAGTGCAAACGGTTAGAGTCATGCAAACAATAATAATCATGAGGTCTTAACGCTTTTCGTTTACAAAAATGGCTTGTAAACAAAACTGAAAATAACACAGAAAAAAGGTGTTATCTTTCGCAGACGTGTGCAGTCTGATGAACTATAAATGGCAGAAAAATACGAAAGTGAAAAAAAATAAAAAACTGAGGAGGCTACCATCATCACACCTTGCGGTGACGTGTTCCTTAAGAGTTACGTAAAGAAAGGGAAATTCCATCCAAATAGTGTCACGTGGAATAACTCAGATTCCAAACTGCTGGAAATGTAACCACCAACAAGGGACCTACTACCATATGTGGTGAACATGTCCCAAAGCCAGGGAATATTGGACAAAAATTTAAAAAATGGTTGGAGGAAATTATTGAACAAAAAATTGATGTGAAGCCAGAGTTATTCCTTTTGGGTATAATAAAAGATAACATAAGCCAAGAAATTCAATACATTATGCTCCATATAATCACTGCAGCCAGAATCACATTCGCCCAAAACTGGAAGCAAGAAAATACCCCTTCAAATGCAGTGATTATAAAAAAGGTGCTAGAATATGCAGAAATGAACAAATTAATGATGGAATTAAGGGACAGAGAGGAAACTGTGTATTACAAAACGTGGAACAGGTGGTATAATTGGCTTGAAAAGAAGCCTAAAATTAATGTATAGTGAATATACAGGAAAGATAATAAATGGAAATAATATATATTTTAGAGTGTAGTAGACATGTAAATATTGTATATATTATAAAAATAAGTAACTATGAAATAAGAATGTATATGTATAAAACAATAGGCCTGTGGATAAATTGAAATTAAGAAAAAATTCCGATAGCGGAAAGCTGTAATAGTGTAATTCTGATTTTAAAGGTTAAAAATGTTGAATAATTTTTTTCTTTAAAGGAATAACTCAGATTTTATTACAGGTAGTCCTTGATTTACAACAGTTCGTTTAGTAACAAACCACGCCCACAGAACCGGTAGCAACAAAATTTGGATTTCATCACTGCCCCGGAACAATGTACCAGCTGAACCCCCTTCTCCTCAGGCCTGCCTCTCCCTCATTGCAAATGAGAAAGTAACATATTGATTTGCACATAGTAATAAATATCAGTTACACCCTAGTCTTGGCTTCATTTCAATCACACCTTTTCAGAAAGGAACTTACCCAACTGGACTTCGAGAAGACTCGTCTGATTCTCTACTGGGTACAACGGCTGAGGTGGTCTGTTGGTGACTAAAGCTAGAAGGGGAGAAAAAAAGAGAGAGAGAGAGAGAGAAAGGAATGGGGAAAATTAAAAGAATAATCTGGTTCTGGAGACAATAAGTGTTCTGCAAAGACTTGGATCTGCATACCTGGATAGCCACACCCATTAAAAAAAAAATCAGTGGCATTCTGCTAGCTTTGGAACTATATTGATAAAAACTCCCTTTTTATGAACCAGTAGCCCTTTAATTTGGGGGGAGAGTCAGAGTGACTGGATAGAGCTGAGCCTTTGCTAGCCGGATGCCCTTTCTGGCGCCACACAGGGTTCACAATAAATATTTCTTTCATGGACCCTAAGAGGGAAACATCTGCTGCTATGTAGGAAAGAAAAAGAGAGGGAAAGAGAGAGAAAGAGAGAGAAAGAGAGAGAAAGAGAAAGAAAGAGAGACAAAAAATGAGAGAGAAAGAGAAAGACAGAGAAAGAAAAAGAAAGAGAAAGAGAGAAAGAAAGAGAAAGAAAAAGAGAGAAAGAAAGAAAAATAAAGGGAGAGAAAGAGTAAGAAAAATAGAGAATGAGAAAGAGAAAGGAAGAGAGAGAGAAACAGAAAGGGAAAGAGAGGGAAAGAGAGAGAAAGATAGAGAAAGAAGAGAAAGAAAGACAGAAAGAAAAAGAGAGAGAGAAAGAGAGAGAAAGAAAAATAAAGGGAGAGGGAGAGAAAGAAAGAAAAAGAGAGAAAGAGAGAGAAAGAAAAAGAAAGGAAAATAAAGGGAGAGAAAGAAAAAGAAAAAGAGAGAAAGAAAAAGAAAAAGAAAAAGAGAGAGAGAAAAAGAGAGAGAAAGAGAAGGAAAAAAGAAGAGAGAGAAAGAGAAAGAGAGAAAGAAAAAGGAAAAGGAAAAGGAAGAGAGAGAGAGTAATGTTCTCCACTGCACCTTGTAGGTACTTTCCAAGCCCCTTGCTTATACACACCTTTTTACTCAAGCTATACAGGTAGTTCTATTTTGAAGAGCGTGGCAGCCTCACACGCCTTTTCCAAGCCTAAAATGGAACAACTGACCCTGATGAAGCGTTGGGTCCACCCATACAATTAAATTACTTTTGGATTAGCTAGGAATAGAAAGTTGCTGGCAGGTGAAAAAAAAATATAATCAATGTTTTTCACTAATGCACTTGGAATGCCATTAGAGGGAACAGGAAGGCCTGCCAATCATCGCGTTATCTCCACCGAGAATTTTCCAAAGCGGCCCGGTGAATTCGTACACAAGTCTTAAAGTCTAATTCACTTAAATAGACACCGATGATGGAAAGTGCAGAGATCAATTGCAAAGGACTCGCCGGTGTGATTTAAAAATCAGCCTTGATCAGACAGAGCGTTCAGGGAGTGCAGAGAAGTAACGGAGAGCAAAAAAAAAAAAGCTTCTCATTGGCGGAAAACGATTATTTTCAACAAGAGACACGGTCTCCCCAAATCCAGGTCCTATGGAACCCTCCTCGAGACCCAGTGTTGTGGCCGCCGGCCCCTCCAGCAGCCAAATCAGATGAGGCAGAGGAGGCGTGGGAGTCAGGATCAGCATCAAAGCTCCGAGGGGGAAGAGGGAATGGAGCTGGCAGAGAGAGAGAGAGAGAGACAGAGGCGGAGCCTGGGCCATCTGTCAACTCTCAGATGGAGAGTCAACAGCCCCCAGGTCTGGAGGTGGCTGATGAGGAAGAAGAGGAACAGCTGGGTCCAGTGCCTTACATGCGGATGTTAGAGGAGGCAGAGGAAAGGAGAGCAGTGGAAATCTATGGGCCAGTCCTTGGGATGGAAGAGCCACCGCTGCTAGCAAAGCCCCACCCTACCTCTGGGGATAAAAGGCAGGGGGCAGAGATGAATAGATGTGGCAGACAACTATTCCTCTCCCCTGCCGGACAGACTCGTTAGCCTGAGGTGAAAAAAAATTTTTTTTTTTTGCTGGGGCTGCTGGAGCTCCTAATAAAGGAATCATTGCTTCAACTACACAGAGTTTGCCATGTTTGGGGAGCTGGGTCAAAATGCCGTGGTCCAATGGAGAAGCAAGGAACTCCTCTGTGTTTCCAACATTATCAACATTTCGATGAGGATAGTTCCGTCTCTGAACCAGGCTAAAATGGAGTTGAGAACTTTGGATGGTCTGTAGTTGTGGTTTGGCCTGTTTCTGGAAGCCAACCATTATCAAATGAACTCCTTCCCATGGTTTGAAAAATGGGGAAACCGTGAGACCAGAGACCAACTAAAGGAAGCCATTTTGATGTAGTGGTTAAGGTGCTGGCCAAGAAACCAGGAGATGGTGAGTTCTAGTTCCACCTTAGGCATGAAAGCCAGCTGGGTGACTTTGGGCCAATCACCAGGAGACGGTGAGTTCTAGTTCCACCTTAGGCATGAAAGCCAGCTGGGTGACTTTGGGCCAATCACCAGAAGATGGTGAGTTCTAGTCCTGTTTTAGGCATAAAAGCAGGATGGGTGACTCTGGGCCAATCACCAGGAGAAGTGAATTCTAGTTTCACCTTATGCACAGAAAGCTGATTGGAAGACTTTGGGCCAATTACTTTCTCTCAGCCCAACCCATCTTACAAGGTTGTTGTGCGGGGGGGGGGGCGAGAGAAGAAGGGGAAGGAGTATTATGTAAATTTTCTGCCTTGAGTTGACTTATAAACAGTAATAAATGTGGGATAAAAATCTAACAAAACAAAATATACGATGAAAACCAGGTATCCTTGCATCTCATTCCTAACTAGGCACCAGAAAACGTCTACCCAGTGAGGATTGTGCTACAATTCCCTTCTCCTTTGAAAGGGACATTTGCCAAACAAATTGTTTTTTTTTCCCCTTTCTGAGGATAAGCAGCACACCAATATTTTCGTTTTGCTTTCGCCAATTTCCTTAATAAGAAAGCGAGAAGGAAACAACGCACGCCTTTCCCCCCAACAGCAAAATTCATATGCAAGTTATCAGAATATCCGAGCACATTTCAGAAATTCAGAAGGCGCCAATACATAATAGATGTTTGCTTTCCTGCTTGCAACAGGGAAGCTTTCTCAGTTGACTGGAGAGAGAGAGAGAGAGAGAGAGAGAGAGAGAGAGAAAGAGAGAGGTAGAACAGCCTGACAGGTAAATACAAATATGAAAACCAAGGAAGAACACAGCCCTGAGAGTACATATTATCGAACACTGTAAATTCAGGGATTTGAGCAAAACAAAAATCTCCTCGCCACGCGTCGTCTCTTGTATTTATCCCGATCTCTTCCAGGACTTTCAATTACAATTTTGATGATTTGAGAGAGAGAGAAAAAAAAAATGCTTTTCAGGATTCAGATGGTTGCCTGCCTTGAGATGGGAAGGAGATAACCCAAGGCTGAAATAATAGCTTCGAGAAACAGCTTTTCTGTTAAAAGCGGGGGGATTTCCAATACGAGGGCCAGTAATGGAAAGAAGTGGATTTTTCATTCCCCCCAGAAGGATGGAGAGTTTTCGATGTCCTCTGCTCTTGATGAGGCCAGGTAGGGCCTCTAATAGTTTTAACTTCTAATGGTTGGAAGGTATAATCGATAGTTGAAGGACTCCATTTCTCCAATCCTTTCTCTCAAAGAAGGTTGACGTGCACTTTCTATTAAGCAGTTCAATTTTATAGCACGCCTAAGAATCCAAATTTAAAGAGCCAGTTTGGTTTAGTGGTTAAGGCGGCAGGCTAGAAACCGGGAGACTGTGAGTTCTAGTTTCCACCTTAAGCATGAAAGCCGGCTGGGTGACTTTGGGCCAATCATTAGAGACTGTTGAGTTCGAGTCCTGCCTCAGGCATGAAAGCCAGCTGGGTGACTTTGGGCCAACCACCAGGAGCCTGGGAGTTCTAGTCCTGCATGAAAGCCAGCTGGGTGACTCTGGGCCAATCACCAGAAGAAGTGAATTCTAGTTTCACCTTATGCATGGAAAGCTCCATCACTGGGAGACTGGGAGTTCTAGTCCTGCCTTAGGCATGAAAGCCAGCTGGGTGACTTTGGACCAATCAGCAGGAGACAGGGAGTTCTAGTTCCGCCTTAGGCATGAAAGTGGCTGAGTGACTTTGGACCCGTCACTGGGAGACTGGGAGTTCTAGTCCCGCCTTAGGCATGAAAGCCAGCTGGGTGACTTTGGACCAATCAGTCTCTGTCTCTCTCTCTCTCTCTCTCTCTCTCTCTCTCTCTCTCTCTCTCTCTCTCTCTCTCTCTCTCTCTCTCTCTCTCCCTCTCTCTCTCTCTCTCTCTCTCAGCCCACCCCACCTCAAAGGCTTGATGTGGGGAAAATAGGAGGAGAACGTGTATTGGATATGTTCACTGCCTTATTTGTAAAAATAATAACCAGTGCTGTGTATCAATAAACAATAAATAAGTAAAAATTAAATCATTGTGGGCCACCTGCAACCATGCTATAATTCTCTGTCATTGCACCTGCCTTACACCCTTTTCTTCTCCAGGTTTTAAATAGCCCTGACTTTTTGGGCCTTTAGAAAGACCCTGGAAAATCTGGCTTTTCCCTCGAGCACTAGCCAAGATGTTATGCGAGCCATCAATATCTATTCATTATGTTGTATGAAATATTGTTCCCAACACTCTGTGCACTTATTTGTCGCTCTTCTTTTAAAAAATAGTGCAAGTATGTTTGGGTGTTTTTGACTTGTTAACCAACCAACTACTTGGGTGGCCGTGTAGATAGGATAAATCAAATAAATAGTCGAGACAGCCTGCAATCAAGCTGTAATTCTCTTGTGGAGTTCGGAATCAGTGCTATTCGTGGAACCCGTAACAGCTTCTCGAGAAGAGAAGTGGTGGCGCAGTGGTTAGAAAGTAGTATTGCAGGCTAACTCTACCAAATGGCGAACAGTTCGATCCTGACCGGCTCAAGGTTGACTCAGCCTTCCATCCTTCCGAGGTCGTTAAAATGAGGACCCAGATTGTTGGGGGTAATATGCTGACTCTATAGACGGCTTAGAGAGGGCTGTAAAAGCACTGTGAAGCAGCATATAAATCTAAGTGTTAGTGCTAAGTG